ACATTTTTTGTAAATAATGACATTATTGATTATTACCATTCTAAATATCTTAAGAACGGTTGCTCGACGCAATTTTTACCAGTAAAAGGTACAACAGTTAAAAGTCATGTAGGAGTCATATTGGCATCAAAATCAAATTTCTCATGTCAATTATTTGAAAAAAATCAAAATAAAATTTCTACACCCTGTATCTCCGAAACTAAGCCTTTTAGGACATACATTTATACGAACTTTTAACTTATTTTTATCTGCACAATATGCTGCCGAAGTTTCCGGAATACAGTTAGGACCACCCTGTATATAATTTATTGTGTTTTTTTTCTATAAAACTAGATTTTATTTTTCTATCTAGAACACCACATAACATAAGTAAAGATATCAAAAAAGCCAAAAAAAAAAGATACGCAGAATGTTTAAGGTTGATTCTCACTATACCTTAGGTTTCCATTCCATATCCGTTTCGTATTTTTGAGGTACCCATACACCAGCGTTCTTTCCTGCAGGAATGTCTAATCCGGCTGGAAAGAACGCCAGTAAGTGGGTATATGCACGACACATGCACCTTCCGTCTTTCTTGTCAGGATGTACTGGCGTTCCAGCCCGACAAGATAAAACGTGTAAAAAATGTGTATTAGTGGTTTGGGGTCATTTCATTTGAGAGGTGATATCCGTGTGTTCTTTCCTGTTAGGAAAGTCCTGTTGTTATAAAACGCCAGGTAGTTTTTTTTAAGTCTTAAATATTTATTAGCTTGTTTGTGTTTTATGAATTAATTACGATGGATTTGACAGAGGAAGAAATCGACACCCAAATGCAGTCTTTTGTCGATATAGAAGATGAAAAAAGTGACTTGCGAGTGGTCCCAAAAGGGATTTTAAAACAATTCATAGACACATACCGGGCTCACCCTGCCCTATGGCTAACCTGCCATAGGTTAAAAACAAAGAGTTGTACACCAACAGAAGTTTAAAGAATCGGGGATATTCAGAGTTGTTTTTTTTTGTAAATTTCTGTGTAATAAAACTTTGTACTTGTTTATTTGTTTGACTTAGTTTTAAATAATCTTTCTGCAAAACCTGGCAAATTACTTTGCATGTCCCTGGAATTATGCGATCAAGAGCTTGTGGAGAAATTCCAGTACTAAATTTCAAGCATTCATAACTTCTTCCGGTGGCCAAATATCTCAAGGTTGCAACAAGGCGCTCTTCAGGTGAAATAATCTGCCTCATTACCGTATCTTCTTTTTGTATATAACTAACTTTTGTATTGGACTAACTAATTTTAACAGTTCATCAAATGTGTTAGGATCCATTCTTAAATAATTTTGGAAATCGGTAGGCTCACTTGGTCCGTACTTCTCGTAACAGTTTCATATCGCTGTACATTTTCCGTTTCTGAAGCCACTTCTTTGACCACATGCTGCGCTTCTGCTTTTTCTTAAACAAAACTTCAGTTGCAATACCAAATTCAGCAATTATTCTTTTAGGTTTCATCTTAATATTAATAGTTTAATAATAATAAAAATAAATATTAATATTATCATTCAAAGCACACCACTTTTTTACATGTATTTCACAACATAAATTTTAAAAAAGTCAAATCTCACGATCCTTAGTAAAATGATTGTCTAGCGGGAAAATTTTAATAATCGTGTCACATTTACAATACAACAAACTAAATCCTTTAAAAACTGCAACGAAAGGTATTTTGTGTTAGTGGGCTTTGCAAGGAATATAACTCCTTCAAAAAAGAACAGGCCAGTCTTACAGTAAAAACTGACAGGAAATTCAACAAAATTGCGTTTGTGTTAGTGGGATTGGACATTCGTGCTTTCCTTTCAAATTTTTGACAAGAAAGAACGCATAAGGAAAGAATTACAGGAATGATTGCTTGTGTGTGGGTATCTATTGTATTCACGCTATATGTATGCTTCCGTTCCGTATCAGTACAATACTGTTTATTGTACAGGGTGGTCGAAATTAGTCTGTTTTAACAGAAAAAACCTAGTTCCTGACTAGATAGAGCAAAACCGACATAGATGTCATGGGTTCGATTTCTGAGATACGTTTAATGGCGTAAACCGCTTGTTGATATTTTCACTGCCAGCAGAGATACGGGGTCTTTTTGAATTTTTTACCATTTTGAAAATTGCCCATAACTTTTTTACTTCGCGGACTAATAAAATTCTGTAAAAACATTGTTAAGGCACTTTTTTAAGCACAATCTAGTGGCGTAGTCAGTTTTTTTTCTATGCTTGCTCTTTTTGTCAGAAATAATAAAATATATAATTTTTTAAATGGAAATCGTAGTTGGCTATGAACTTAAAAAAATGCTGACGTTTAACCCTTTCCAACGATATAAAGTTATGGGTATCTATTTCTAAGAATGAGAGAAATATGAGGGTTTATATCTTTATATTGAAGCGGGCTTTGATTTCGAGTTGACCTATTTGCTTAATTATTTTTTATCACAATTTAATATTCTATATTATTATTTATCTGCACAATTAAAGACTTTTGAAAAGGTAAATTAACATTCTATTATTATTAGTAATAGTAATTATTAGTATTAGTAATTACAACTGAAATTGATACAATAAACAAAGAACAATACTAAAAAAACGTATTTTGTGAGTGGTGAATATAGTTTTCTAAAAAAATGAAAGATGTTCAAATTGAGCACCTCCTTGTTGAATACACAATAAACATCTTTTGCGCACAGAGTTACAACGATATATTAGGCGTACTGGTTTAATAAGTCCAAAAGCTTGCCTAGTAACCTTCTCCAATTTTTCTCTTGTCCCAATGGTTCTTCCCTTATATATAAGGTCTTTTAATGTCCCCCATAAAAAAGTCGAAAGGAGTTAAATCACAGAACCCAGGAGGCCAAGATATGGGCCCCTTGTTCCAACGCAATTCTCTCTAAATTCTCCATTTAATAGTTCAGTTGTAACCGTAGCGTTTTAATTGTAATTGGTAATACTAATATTGAATGTTGATTTACCTTTTCAAAAGTTTTTAATTATGCAGATAAACAATAATATAGAATATTAAATTGTGATAAAAAATAATTAGGCAACTACACACAAAATCAAGGCCCGCTTCGATACAAAGATAAAAAATCTAATATTTTTCTCATTCTAAGAAATAAATACACATAACTTTATATCGCTGGAAAGGGTTAAACGCCAGCTTTTTTTTAAGTTCATATCCAACTATGATTTCCATTTAAAAAATTATATTTTTTATTATTTCTGACAAAAAGAGCATGTATAGAAAAAAAACTGACTACGCCACTGCATTGTGCTTAAAAAATTGCCTTAAGAACGTTTTTACAGAATTTTATTGTGCCACGAAATACAAAAGTTATGGGCAATTTCCCAAAAGGTAAAAAATTCAAAAAGACCCCATATCTCAGTTGGCAGTGAAAATATCAACAGGCGGTTTACGCCATTAAACTTGTCTCAGAAATCGAGTCCATGACATCTATGTCGGTTTTGCTCTATCTAGTCAGGAAATAGGTTTTCTCTGTTAAAACAGACCAATTTCGACCACCCTGTACAATTTATATCATTACGAAAGTTTTATTTTAAAAATTTGTATCCTTTGAAAATGTTAATATATATAATTACGGGGCGAAAGAATAAATAAATATCAGCAAAATGTTAACAGAGCTAGTACAAATGTAAGAACTTGACAACGCTGTTTCCGATACGCTTCAGTCCGTCTACCAAAAAAATGTATAAAAGGAGAGGATATGGAATGGAAGGGAAACGGAACGGATAGTCTGCATTGTCCTATTCATTTACATCATATAATAATTTATGTAAACGGAAGGAAAATGGAAGGTAGCTGATACGGAAGGTATAGTGAGAATCAACCATTAAGCTTTTAGGTTTTATTTCATTAAGTATAATCAGGTAGTAATTGTTATTCCCAGAGGCTAGTTCTCCGTCTCCAGTATCATTCGTACCAAAGTTTATGGTACGAATGGTTGTCGTCGGGGTTGCAACCAGTGATGAGGTATTCTGGTGTTTTTCCATTTTCCCCACAGAAACCTCATTGGCCGTTTTTTCTTTCTACTGAGATGTTCATTGAGGAGGCAATGTTCTGTTAAAAACCCGTGACAATACGAAGATTGTTCTTACTTAAGTCAACAAAAATCTTTGATTCTTCTGGGTCGTAAGTTCTGGGAAAATTATTCGAGTGTCTTAGACCTTTGGGGGATTCCCATTCCAGGTTACGGATGGAGTCTTCCAAGTTCTTGGGTTTCGTTTTACGTTGGTTTTCACTTAGGAAGTATAAGCTAGATCCAGAGTAGGAAGGCTTTATTTTCTTTGACTAACTCGCTATTTAGGCTGCCTCATACTCTCTAAATATGTAAGCCCCTGCTGGGATGACAGACTAATTAGCTATAAAACATTTTCAGTTTATTTATTTCTATTTTCCCAATACTCGCTCCCCTTTTGCTTCAGCGCCTGACAAGCACGTATCCAGATTCGCTACATAACAGCCCGTACACACGTCCCACCCGCCCCCCATAATTAAAAGTAGGAACTATCCGCGATCCGAGGCGCCCATCCCGCCGCCCCAGCATCCTCCTTGGGCATCCCGACGCCCGCACGCATGCCTCCTCGCCGCCCTCCGACTCGGCGCCGCTTCTCGCCGCCCAGTGTGCGGTCGTCCTGCCAGGCGAGAACATGCCCTGCGCGCCCCGCTCCTCTTCGCCGGACGACGCTGCTGCTGCTGAAGACGACGACGCCGCGGCGACGACGGCAGGCGCCTAGTCTCGAGCGCCGCGCCGGCAGCGAGCGACTCTTTTTCTCGGTTCTGCTATGGTTTAGTTGCCCCTTCTCCAAACGTCCACGTCTCTTTCGAAGACTCAGAAGACGAAGGACGGCACAAGTTTCGGTCAATACGGGTTCTGTAAATAGTGTCGATTAGGGACCAATATTAACAAAAAAAAACTTTGTAAATATTATAATTAATATATAACGCTACTCATGGCTCTGGCCAATTTGACGGCACGCACCGCTCTAGCAGTCGAAGACGCTCTGCTCCTCGCCGCAGCGGACAACGGCAGCGTCAACTCCTCCATCATCTCGAACGCGACCCTCGCCGTTCCCCACTACCCCAGCGGCTACACGCTTCCCCAAATCGTGGTAGCCTCCATCGTCGTAACCATCCTCATGATCGTGGTGGTCGTGGGTAATATGCTAGTAATCATCGCAATCACGACAGAAAAAGCTCTAAAAAACATCCAGAACTGGTTTATTGCATCTTTAGCGGTCGCGGACTTCTTCCTAGGGCTGATAATAATGCCCTTTTCCCTAGCCAACGAACTGATGGGCTATTGGATTTTCGGTGCGTGGTGGTGCGATGTGCATTCGGCCATGGACGTGCTGCTGAGCACGGCGTCGATCATGAACTTGTGCCTGATCTCGCTGGATCGGTACTGGAGTATCACGCAGGCGGTCGAGTACCTGAAGAAGCGCACGCCGATGCGGGCGGTACTGATGATAGGGGCAGTTTGGGTGTTGTCGGCGCTGATCTGCATCCCGCCGCTGTTGGGGTGGAAGGTGGAAAGACCGGCGGAAGAGCAGTACCCCAAGTGCCAGGTAGGATTTTTTCAAAGATATTTTTAAGGAGATTTGGGAATACAAAGTATATCATATTTGAAATAATTCAACATTATTTCTTAATATATTTAGGTTATTGCTTGAAGAAAGAGTAATTACAAAACTCTTCCTACTGATCAATACAAGTAGGGAAAATTGTGGTTTCCATACAGATGCCTAACTTGTTGCTGATGCTGATGTATTTGAAAAAAAAATACTTTTATAAAGTTAAATTTTCGGAAGTAATTACCCAAGTGGGCTTGATTACCCAAGTGGCGTGATAATTTTTCATTTAAGCATGTTGTCAATAAAAAACAGCATTCGTTTATATTCATAACTCATGCAGTTTTTAGACAACATGCTCTCATGAAAAATTATCGGTGATTTTGATGCACGAGTGTAATTCTGTAGAATATTTCCCGAATAAGAAACATGAAAATACAAGTCAAAATACATGGATTTTTTAAAAACATTTATTTGAACATATTAAAAAAATATATTTAAAAATGAAACAATAAAATGAAACAGAACTTATAATATTAGAAATTAAAAATTACATGAAGAATTGCAGTGTAAAACACAGTTATAAAAATTATTATGTTTAGATTCCGTTGGGGTTTGCGGTACTTGAAGACGCTGAATTTAAAGATGCTGAATTTAAATTGAAATTAAATGAACCTATAATAGGTGCAAAAACATTAGTATTATTATTAGACTTTGTAGCAGTTTCATAGTCGCTCATTTTTTCTACCAAATTTGCATGATTTTCATCATCGAGTTGAATGTCAGTAAAAGGATTAAATTTAATATTATATTCTTTTTGGTATTTTTCCATTAATAGCTCGGCTGTTACATTCCAAATAGTTTTTACCGTAAAATCCTTATAGTCTTGACCGTTTTTCCTTTTCATATTAAATGCCCAATCGGTCAAAATATTCTCGGCCAGTGCCGAGATTGAGATGTTCGCATCCAAAATGTAGTTTCTATCTTTTATAAAATCCATAAACTGTTTCCATACATACTGGTGATTAATTATAGTGTTTTTCAGCTTACTCTCGGCAACTTTTTCTTCAATTGCACTTAAAGAATCGTTTCCAAATCGAGGCAATTTTCGCTGAAAATTACCCGCTTCATATGGGATTTTTTATACACGAGTGAAATACTCAAAGAAAGAAATTCTGGAAAATGTAAAACAAGTAATTTATTATAAGTAACTTATGTTTCGCAGTTTTTGCAGCCAAGGATTATCTAGTAACGATTCACTTTACGCGGTTCTCTGAAGTGTTATAACAGACATTTCTAAATCTAACCAACGTGTATGACTATATGAGCAATGTGTCTAAATAGATGTTTCAATCTTGTAACATGGAGTTTGTCACGATTTTAAATATTTAAAAATACAAATTAATGTATTTCGTTTAGTTTTTTTAAGAATTATTACAATCCTTGCTTTCTTAATTTGGGAATATTAATTAACATGTATACGGTAATTTTAGTTCATCCTGGATAAGTATATCGGGTGTTACTCAAAAGTTGTTCACCCCTATAACTTTTGTATTTTTGAGGAGAAAAAAAAAGGATATTTGGTATGGTTGTTAGTACATAACATAAATCAGGATTGATTGTCTTATTCAATCATTTTCGCTCACTTCCTGTTTCAACGGAAATGACTACAACTTTTTTATTTTTAAATAACGCCCTTAGTGCGTGGCCCAACATGAGGCGTACAACCTAAAACATATAAATCAGGATTCAGTGTCGTAATGGTTTTCGGTCACTTCTTGTTTCATCGGAAATGACTACAGCTTTTTATTTTTAAATGACACTCTAGTATCTTTTTACTTTATTCGATAGAAATTGGCACTCTGAGTAGCATGACATATCAAATGTCAACTTTTGAACATGCTTTTGAACATAATGATAATTTAACTCGAAATACCGAGCGTGTGGTACCAAATTATTCGTAAAAAATGCTTTTTCGAAATATGCTAATGTAGCCACTCTCGTTCCGGAATTGAGATATGATTAAAAATACGATTTGGGCATATTTTAACCATCCAGGACAAGACACGAAAAACACAAGACGATCAAATCTATTTTTCCAAGACTCCTTGATTAAAAATTAGTGTTTTTAACATAGCCATGGAATTCTAGGTTGAAATTTAAAATAGGATTTTTAAGCGTAAATGTCAAAATTTGAGTGTCATTTACTATCAAAAAAAGTCAAAAATACCGAGAGTCCTATTTACAAATCAAAAGTTATAGTCATTTCCGGTGAAACAGGAAAAGAGAAAACGATAAACGATACAATCTCGATTTTTATCTTAAAAAATAAAAAAAGTTATTAGGGTGAGCCACTTTTGAGAAACACCCGGTATATCCATGACAGAAAAGGCAAACAGAAGAAATGCTATAAATAGTTCTTAATTTTTGAGCACGTTTTTACAAATCCTGTACGTTAATACATTTAAAATTTTTCTTGTTTTAAAATTGAAAAAGAAATAAGAAAATTTGGTAATTTTCTCATTGGATCTGATTGCATAATGTCCTTTACGCTTGCCTGTGTGCATAGATTATGTTGCAATATAATCTATCAATATGGCCACAATATCCCAACATCAATATTAATAAATCTGAGCTAGAGCTCCAAATTTACTGCCAATATTGATTTTAATAGTAAATTACAACATCATATACAATGTGTCTCCACAAAGTGTTTTGAGAAATGACTACAACTTTTAATTTTTAAATGGTACCCTCGGTACTTTTCTTACTTTATTCGGTAGAAAATGACACTCCGAATGGAATAACATATCATGTCAACTTTTGATATTTTTGCTTAAAAAATCATATTTTAAATTTCAATCTAGAGTGCTTTGGAAAAATAGATTTGATTGGCTAATGTTTTTCGTGTCTTGTCTCAGCCGGTTGAAAGATCAAAACAATCTCAGTTTTTTGTAATATTTGGTATATTATACCGGGTTAATCGAGGGGTTGTTTTTTTTACCCTAACTTTAAAACACCCTGTGCAATAATTTCTCGTGTCAATTTTTCTAATTTATAATTTTACGGTTAGAACCATATCTCCTGAACATTTTGTTTTTTAGATCATGTCAATACATGATTTGGTTAATTTTTAAGAGCGAAATGAACTGATCACGACCAATTTGCAATTTATCAATTATCATTACATTTTGATGTTATTTTTTAATATGACGGGATTGTTTTGGTGACTATTGTCCTAACGTCATATTCCGCTGCATTGCGTCATATTCCGCTGCATTGCTATACTAAATATAAAAAAACGTTAAAATGTAACGATACAATCCGGATTTTAATAAACAGTAATAATGATAACAGAATTACCGATATTAAAGAAAAAATCTGTAATACTGAAGTATACAAACAGAAAAAAAAATTGTAAAAAATACCCTAATACTTTGTATTGCATCCCTTGGCTGATATAATTGCCTGTATATGTCTGATCATACTGTTATTGAGGCTGCATATACCATATTGCGTTATGCTTTCTCATGCTTCTTTAAGAACCTAGCGAAGTTCATTTAATGAAGCTGGTACCGCTTAGCGACGTCCAATCCTCCTGCCAAGCATTTCCCAAACGTCGAACATGATGATGGTCAGTAAAACAAAAATTGTAAAAAATACCGTAATACTTTGTATTGCCTCCCTTGGCTGCTATAACTGCCTGTATACGTCCCTTCATACTATCACTGAGGCTGAATATATCACATTGCTTTATGTTTTTCTATTCTTAATTCTTTAAGGACCAAGTGAAGTTCATTTTTAATGAAGCTAGTAAAGCTTCGCGACCTTTAACCCTCCTGCCAAGCATTTCCCAAACGTCGAACATGATAAACAGCTCATAGTGATTTATAGTTCACAACAATCTTCAAAGCCGCCATCATATTGAAATATAACTTCAAAATAAAATGATAATTGAAAAAAATCGCAAATTGTTGGTGGCAAGTTCATTTCGCTCTTAAAAGTTAACCAAAGTATGTATTGACATGATCCAAAAAACAAAATGCTCAGGAGACATGGTTCTGACCGTAAAATTATAATTTAGAAAAATTGACAGGCGAAATTATTGCACAGGGTGTTTTAAAATTAGGGTAAAAAAACAATCCCCCGATTAACCCTGTATAATATGCCAAATACTAAATTTAATAAAAAACTGAGTATTCGAATTAAAGTTGATATAATTATATACAGCTTGCTAAAAAAAAGCTCATAAAAATAGAGCTAAAAATAACAAAAATATGACACTTTAAATTTGACCAAAATTTTCTCCCTTGCGTTTTTTTGCATCTGAATGTACTTTGAGAAGACCTTCTGTATACAAAAGTGTTCCAGAAATAAGTGCTAGTATTTTAAGGGATGGTAGTCTCGATAAAAGAAACATGTTTTCTCTTTATCGTTTTCCAAATAAGTCCAAAATAACGGAGTTATTTTACTTTGAAAATTTCCAAAAAAAATGATTTTTTGCTAAGATTTTGAGAACCACTGGATCTCTTCTGGATTTTCTTTCTTGTAAATTTAATCTAATACCTATGTTGCCATATTATCAAGAAATTCTGTTTTTAACTCAAAACTAAAAAAAATCCAAAAATTTTTTCAAAAAATTTCGAATTTTCAAATTTTTTTTTCGCGAAACAAACCTCATAGGCGTGTTTCTGGGTTTGAACTATACTACCAGTTAAAATACTTGCACTTATTTCTGGGACACCCTATATATTAAATATCAAATGTGCGAACCATATTCATATCTTCAAAATTTACACAGGCAACTGTATCCATTACGTATAAAAATATTTAATTGAACTTTTGATATTTTCATATCAAATAAAATTATAGACTAATTTTCTTTGACAGGTGTTAACTTAAAAATAAATTCTCCTGCCAATCAACCACTGTAAATAAAATCTCGTGCAGGTATAAATAAAAAGCGGTTTAATTTTACATTTTGTGTTCTTACTTTTAAAATTATTACAAATATTTTTTTTTTGTTTTTACTCTTTTTCAGTATTTTTAACGAAATTGTTTTGAAACTATTTATAACAAAATGAATAATATTTGTTTATTTTATATTAATATCTATCGATGATCGACGTTTAAAAACCAAAATATTTCTGAACACACATTCTGGATGATGAGCGAAATAGTGTAAATATTAGTATTGGAAATTAACTATAACCGACATAAATATTTCATCTCTCATTTGTAATAACATTTAGTACCGAACAGATGGTCAAAATATATTGCCATATTTATCTACTGCATTTATAGTTTTTGGTTAAGCTTATTTAATACCCCTAGTTTATTCATTATTCTGTTGAAAATATACTGCATATTTTTCCACATAAAAAGAAACTTAAAACATGAAAAAATTAGGTCCTTTTTAGGGTTTACATTACGTGGTTACATTGGATGCGTGTCCGTGCGTTTTTTTGGTCGTACGTGCTCGGACGTGCACGCAGCAAAAAACAAATAAATGGTATCTACGCAGGCGGTTACATTGCATCGGAGTTTGCGCGTCCGTGCACGTACGTCGATTTCCGTTGGTCGTATGAAAACAAACTGATTTGTTTTTTAAAAACGTGCACGTCCTAGCGTTCGAATTTTTATATCTCTGGGCCCAATACATTCCCGAAAAATTTGAATATTTTTGAATACCAGGTTTATTTTTATTTTAGATATATTAATGTTGATGGAA